GTTACAAGTGGCTTCCCTTCTCCTTTACCCTCCTCCTTCACCTCTTTTTCGCCTTTTTTTTCATCGATATCCTCGTGTCCCTCCCATGGCGACAAGTCAACACCTATTTATTTAAAGGAGACAGTTAAGCTACGCGCAGTTTGTGATCGTGTGTCTCGGTGTACGCTTCGTCGTGTTTATGTTTTCCTTCGCTATGTGTTCGTGTGTGTGTATGTGTGTGTGTACATTGTATATTCTCCGTGTCGTCTCCCTTCTCAGTCAAACGTGTAACATGTGTACTCGTGTTTCGTGTACATATGTGGCTCGCGTCACACGCGTCGCCGTTTCGACGACTCGGCGCCGCGATGTGTCCAACACCATTCAACTCCACGATTCATCGCCGCGTAAAGTCCTCGTACCTCCTTCCTTCGTTTGTCCTCCCTTTATCTCTACACAAGTGTATATTAATATATTTACATCCACACACACATGCACACACGCACGCACGCACGCACGCACGCACATCGCGTTTAGCATCCCCGCGCTCGTCGAGGCTGTCGCATGCCACCCCCGATCACTCTCGATCGACCTAACATTAATATAAATTCAACAACTGACATACGTATATATATACATATACATATACATATCGATCTACGTATATGTATATATACATAGAATTTTCGTAAAGCAAGGTATCGCGTCAACGATTACATGTATGTATATCAATGGTAGCAGAAGAAGCGCCGCCCCGGTTACTTTCGCGTCAATTACTCGCCGCGGCTGTCCCGATTCGCCCGGAATGCGGGTCGCCCGACGTTCCGTCGATTTCTCATCGTACCGAGACACCGTTCTCGCCGTCCGCGTTCGCGGAGAATCGATCGGCAACGGAAGGAACGGAAAAGACACGGGTGAAAGGAAATCCGAAGCGGCGGATCGAAAGGAGAAGTTCGAATGGTTAACGCGCGCCACTCGCGTCATCCATGACGCATTGGCCGCCAATGACCGATCAGTCTCGCGGGTGACGATAGTGAGGCACCGAGCAGACCGATCGGTTGCAAGCATTTTTCGTTTAACACGTTCGTTGCCAATGCTAACGGTTGCCGTCGTTGGGACTGATAAGGAAACCTTGTTCAGTGTCAATGGAATCGATATGTCCCCTTCGTTATACAGCACTCGAAGTTTCGAAGTGATGTATCGTTGGAATAGCGCCTATCAGCGGTTGCATGCAGCCGGAAAGGCTTTGGCACCGGATGTGCTGCCAGCCGGATAAGTTGGCAACGAACGTGCTGAACGGGGGATGTTTCCTTTCGTGGCAACACTCAGCCGTGGGACGAGGCGATTCTTTCTTTGTCTGCCGCGAGTGAGACCGTCTCTCCCCTCCAACGTATTCCAGTCAGTTCTCGTCGTAAAAGGCGGGTGATCGTCGCTACGTGCATTTTATGTACAAATTAATGATCCGTCTATCACCGCCACTGTAATCCCGCTACGTCCTCTTCGCCTAGATACAATTCGCTCTCTCGCAACCCCTCGCCAAGCACACTGTTCCCTCTTGCACACACGCTCGCCTATTACTCTCGCCATCGTTCCTATTTAAACGCTACATAGAAATATCTCTCTTCGTTCTGGGTCCCGCACAACTTTGTATCATTCGCATATGACGATGGCTTCCACGATGTGACCGTCCTCGATGGACACGGGAGGATCCGACGCCGAGCGCGGCAACCCTCTCCCCCACGGGGAACCGGTGATGACCGCGGAATCAGAAATGGGGCTTCCATTTGCATTTTGGTACTTAACGGTGAAGTAATTATTTTATTTATTCGTGGAATAATTGAAGTGGTAAATAATTCAATATGATTACCAGATGATTTGATAATTAAAAGTTACTAATGATTATTAATAAAGGTTTCCGTGACAGACCGAATAAAGTGTTTGCACTCGTGGAAATTCTAATTGCAAGATACTTGGTTCGAGATTGTCGAACGATACAACGGGTTTTCAATTAAAATTTTCAAGAAGAGCGCTGAAGGAGTTATTGATATTTATGAAAAGAGAAAGTAAAGGAGATAGTGAGGTACACTATCAGATTAAGAGAGACATAATGTTAATCGTAAAAATGATGCCCATCTCGGCTCACGGAAACGTGTTTTCTTCGAAGGAAGCGTCCAGGGAAAATGAACCTCCCTTGCTGTGAAACAATGTAGGTTCACTGCATCGTCTGTCATACGAAAATAATCGGAGATCGGACGAATTAGCTTCGTATGTCTGTACAATTCTGCGATCGTTCAGCGTCGGTAACATCTAGAGCTACATTAGAGAATCAACTGAAAGGAAAACGGCGCACGATGTTGGATCTCAGGTCAATTATTAAGCTACTGATTGGTATTAGGCGTATCGGCGTGCACTTGTCGCCGATTTCCTTCGAGTAGTCAGCATTTCCGCACGTGATCCATCTGCCACGTTCTATTACTCCGTGCAATGTGAAATGTCTCAATCCGAACTCATAAAATAGAACAACTCGTACAATCCAATCGATTTCCCATCTCAGTTACGCAAACAAAGCTCCAGCTCTCTAAGAATGAAAAAATAGTAACAGCAACCGAAGAACCGTACAAACTTATCATTTACACGAACACACAATATACGAAGTCAATTGGAAAAAGTGAAAACTTCTAGAAATCAATGAACGATCAATGAAAAATCGAACATGTTACATTGCACAATCGTTTCCGGCAACGAGGCCGAAAGTCGTTTCGCTGACTGCACGATGTATCCTAGACAGCCGCTGAATCACGATCGACGCGGTGCACGTGCGACTATCAAGGATTCAGAGTACGTACGTGCACTATCGTGAACGGGCAATCTCCGTGGACGAATATGGCGTCGGTCTAAGTTCCACGTGACGCGTGAACCGCGATATCGATTTCCGTTATCGTGAAATGACAACTACGTCGCGCGCGAAGGCGGTCAGCGTTTCCGATGATCGTCGGGCGTCACGATGACAGCAGCTCGTTACAGCGCGCGCAACAATGGCGAACGATCGCGTCGCTCGCGCTCGCGTCAGCGTTTTACCGCGCATAGTTTGTGCGTACGGTAACAACGTCGGATCGCTTTATGGTGTCGCAGGATCGGTGTATAACTTCGTCCTCGTCCTCGTTCATCTCGGCCACGTCCTCCCCGTGGATTTGAAGGACGGTCGCGGTCACTTTTTCTTTGTCGCATCGCCCTCATCTCGCAAGGTGCAAGCTCTTCTATAGTTCGCCATAAAAAATAAACTCCCTATTACTCGTCTGTCCGCGCATGTAAGTAACGTGACGTGTACGTGTGTTTTAATTACGTGTGCCTGCCTGTTCGCGTGGGTGTCCCTACAGTTGCGTGTCCATTACAATACGTGTTTACGTGTGTGAGGTTTCGTGTAGCCCGGTCGTCCTCGTCTCGCTCCTCTAATCTGTACACCCGAGAATACACAATTGTTTTAAGTTATACATTTAAGCTCCCTATAGCTTCCGATTTCATCTTCTGTATCTCCCATTAATATTAATATTATTATTTCGTTTCCTCCCTCCCTTCGCTCGCTTCCCAGTTGAGTCGTCGAGTGCGCCTTGACGCTGGAACGCTCCGCTTCCTCAGTCATTCCGTTAACACTCGCACACCGTTCCCCGTTCACACTCCGCCTAGAGCTTCCCTCTCGAACCCAGCGAATTCACTAAATTCAGCGCGATAGCTAATACCATCCCGTATATACATTAAATCGATCCCTATTCTCGCAGGGACGTTGCTCGCTGCTCCGATCGTGTTTACGAGACACCGTGAATCGTGATCAACGGGTTCCATGCTCCTGGCAGCAGGAGCCTTTCTCTCGTTCGGTGTCTATCAAAGGTGGAACGAGAGCGCGAGCGTCTCCTGGGGGGACCGGGATTCTCTGTCAATATCCCGAAGTGAGTATACAGGCTTCCGGGGCGGTCGCGGCGCGTGAAATCGTTCCCCGCGGCCCCGTCGCCGTCACCTCGGCATCGTGTTTTTTAATCTTTTCATTTTTGTCGGACACTGCGTTTAACATACATAACATCATATCGACACACGTAAGCGTAGTCCACTATAGCTGTGGTAATTAGTATATGTAGTTATTAGTAGTATATGCTGTCCGGAGAGGGCGAAAGGAGTGACCTCGATGACGCGTTCGGCGGCGATTCGCTAAAGTATTTCAAGGTCAGGGGCGACTGCAGATGTCTATGTCGGATCACCTCTCGCTCAGCAGGCAGCGGCCACAGTTCCTGCGCAATCAGCGGATAAGTCTATTCAGATTTTTATTACACACTGCGGTGGGTGGGGTATCGGGAATAAAAGACATATAGCGAATTGTTCGTTGAGATAGCGACAACTTTGGAAAGTACATTGTTTGCTTTATTTGTCATTGATACAGTTGGAAAGGAGGGAAATGATGTTTCACTGAATCGCTTCATGGATCAACCCTTTAACCTGTTACCTTTGCCAGTATACGAGGAAGAGGAGCTTATATAATAATTGTACGATTAACATTGGAGGATAGTATCCAGAAAACTGGACGCCATCTGGACGATGCGGGTGAACATAAACGACGAGTTTTCTTGTTTTCCTCCAGTTAACAGGTTAAGGACCACTTGGGCACGCTCGACTATTTCTTTGTGATAGTAAATAAGCGCTTAGCCTTTGAGACAAGTGCGTTAGTTTACTATTCCGAGGAATTTTTGGCGATAGTTCGAGGAACTATTGAGAATCGAATGATTTGAAATGAAGCCGTGATGCATGAAAGGGTTTGACTTCGAATCATACGTTTCACTGGATGTCTTTTATTCGCAATATGAAGAACAGAAGTACTGCCGATTCGTATAGTTCAGCGGCTGAGCGTGATCATTTACCTGCAGCGAGAGAGCCTCGTCTCAGGACTCACCCTGCTTATTTCTACGTCCAGTCAGAGAGCCAACTAGAGACTGCAGAGTGGTGCCCAGTCTTCTCTCCTTCGGATTGTTCAGTTTGGTGGCGTGTTTAAAGCCCAGCGGGTGTGCGTCTAAGCATTTCTGATACCTCAGCTGTATACGGAAAGAAGGAATCGGATTTCAGTCAATAATCGAGTGAGTAGATTCGATTACTTGAATTTTTCATATCGTCAAATATTTTTCATTTCATTCACCGACCCATGTGATTTAGTATTTGCTAATTACCTTGCAAGCGGCTTCGATGGTTTTGCATAGGGCCCCGCTGCTGGGCTCGCAGTTGAAGACGTGTGCGAAGAAGAGATTTTGCGCGGTGTGCATTATAAAAGCGCACTGTTTCACGTTCCGGCCAATACCGAGGAACGACAAGTAACGTACTCGACACTCGGTGATACTCTCCTCCTAGAAAATACACCAACGAATGGGATCATTAATCCCTCATCCTATGACTTCTCTTATAATCATGCTAAGATAACTTTGACGTTAAGAGTTTATCGAAAAACAAAGAAAAATTCTTAGTTCATCCATACCCAAGTTTACCTCAAAATATAACAACTAATAATGAAAAAATAGTATTTAATTTTAATCCAAAATAATTGAGTGACATTCAATTCTTGTAAGTTCCGATTGAGAACTTCCTCGCTAACTCGATATTGTATGGCGAGGGGTTAAATGGAAATTATTCAATGAAGTCGATTTCTGCAGCCCCTTAATCTCAACTTACGTTCGGTGTAAGAATAGAAATCATGCTAGGCGCGACAGCAACTTTCACGTTTCGCCATTCGTTGATAGGTGTCATAGCTACGGTCTGATCTATCGCGTCGTTTAGAACCTTCATGCCTGTGGCCTGAGAAACTCTTATGGATCCCAGATACTGCGCCGGCAGTACCTTCTTTGGCTCTTCCATCGGCGTTGGAAAGGATTGTGCTGGGAACAGATCGATACACAATTAATCTTCTGACGCAACGAAACCTCCAATCCTGTTCTATCAGGAACAATCAATCATTAAGACGTTTCGTGCCACGGAAATTTTGGTCATATTTTGTTAATGAACTCTATTGATTTTTAAAATAAAATATTAAATTATATTCACGTTTTCGGTCATTTTTATATATTTCGATATTCTTTCTTTATATTTTGGGTGTTTTGTAACGTATACCACTCTTGATAGACTCAAAAATATTTTCTTATAAAAATTGACGTGTACCATATTTGGTACATATGGACTGAACGTAAAAAGTAACGTCAAGGATATTGTTACTTTTATCCATTTCAAGTGCAACGTTTGAACGATTTCGATTACCCAAGCACTGGTTCGATCTTTGCAATATCGATCACTTACTGACTAGCCCTTGGCCATTTCTATGGAAGCGTCGGTGTTCCGTGGGCAAGTTGGTGGGTCTCGTGGCGAGGTTCGTTCGCCCGTTGATGTCTACAGGCTTCGCCAGGTTCTGGTGTTGCGACCGCTCGATCATGATCTTCTTGCAGATATCGCGTAGCGTGTTGGCAATCGTGCGCGCTGGTATGTCGCAACGGAACACGTGACACATGTGCTTCCGGGTCGTTCGGTCTCTTGCCACGTAAGCGAAGTCCCTGAAGAGCAATTTCATTCGACGGTTTAGTATCCAGCGATCTACAATATCATCTGACCAAGTGTATAACAAGCGAAATTTACCTTTCACTGCAGAGGCCGACGAGGAAGACATGGAAAGAATTATGAACACGTTATTAACACTTCGATTCCAGCGGAAAATATTTCAACCCTCGGAAGATGGACATCTTAGAGGCTTCGTTAATTGGAATGTCTAGATTCTTTTTGATATTTGTTCATCAATTTTTTTTAGATACGTTACTGAGGTAGTTGTATTAACCCTTTGTATTCGGAGTTTCTCACCAGAAATATTTTCACATTTTCTGATAGAATAAAGACGATATTTTGTGATACTAACTCGAAGAGACATCACACTATATTGAGGAACGAAGCTATTTCATTTCAATATTTCTCAAATTAATGCGTTGTACGAAGTATGATATTAAATATCAAGTTTTACAGTTGTACTGTAAGAAATCGAGCGGTGAGTGAGAGTCAGCTCTCTAGTGCAAAGGGTTAATGATAGTTTAATATTACCAATGTAATTAGCTTCAATTTTTATACGAATTTTCAAAAACTTGGGTCAAGATAGACCTCGCTATCGTCTTCCGAGGATTAGAAGCATCACTTACCGGCAGTGATCTCTGCCAACCCCCCACACCCTCACTGTGTGAATCGGTTGAGTATTCAGTACAGTCAGATTTTCCGGATCTATCAGCTTCAGTGCGCCCTCGTCCAAGTCCATGAACAAATCTTTACCCTGAAAGAATGGAAATTGTAAGTATAATTTTAGTATATTACTTATGTCAACCCTTAATGGACCAATGCCGCCATATAAGTAGTATGATACTTTTACTTAATGAGTTTAATATCGCGTATATGGCGGCAAAACTCATTTTATTATTATTACTGTTATTATTGTAATATTTACAATTAACACGTTAACCCCTTGACCTACGATATCGTGTCTCTCGTGACGAATATTTTCAATTAAATTTGAGAAATCTAAGTGTTACTAATTCTCTTCAAATATAAATGAAATATTATCGTTAACCTTATGTTCTAAATTATTAACGATAAAGTAGTTGTATCGATCATGATTAAGAAATAAGTAATAGTTCAAGGGGTTACGTATCGCTAGCTCACTTCTGTGGATTTATTTCCGCTTGTTATCCACGTTACGCTATTTTTTGGTAAGTGAACTTGAAATACCTCCGGTCCGTTAAGGGTGAATACAATAGAAGACACAGATAATACTAACATCGCCCCATCGACCAACCACGTCCAAAAGATCATTTCTACCAAGAGACAGGTCGACGATGCATTTGTTGACAGCCTTGCTGCTTCTTTCAGGTGTCAGATCTTCCTCGGCGATCTCGGTCCATCCCAGAGAACGCACGGCGAATCTGATCGGCTTGTCTTTGCCCTCGGAATCTGCCCTAGCCGGATAGCTTCTTCGCCTGAACGCAGAGAAAACATGAAAAAAATTCCTGCGTGCTCAAGAGATACGAAGGAATATAAACGTTACAGGTAATCAATTAAGTGAAACGAATCTTACTTCAGAAGCAATTCTTTTCTCTTGGTTTCGAGCTCTTGGCACAAACATGAACTCGTGTTGCTGCGGGTCACGGTGTTCACCATGCCACTCGAAGTGTGGAAATTGTTTATCTGTAATAATTACGTTTGTTTACTGAACTTTCATCCGGACTCAATTTCGATTTCAAATTAACACACTGTTGATCGGCAATTCCATGCAGAAGCTGCCTCATGTTACCAGTTGTTGTTTCGTAATTAAATATAAAAGTGAAACGATCCAAGTAAACTTCAATATACTTTATTTACATATAACAAATTGAAATATAATTTTGAATATTTGCTTCCGCAATGTTCTATATTGCCCTGTGCTTCAAAAATTGAAACAGCTAATGCAAGTGCAAACACGAGTCAACTCGTGACCGGTCAACAATGTGTTAAGTCAGACTTGAACAATAAACCTACTGGTCAAAATGACTCGTTCCTACTTCCTCCACTTTGCAATTATCAAAAAGACAACAGATGTTTCTCGGAGGAAGTATTAACCCTTTGCGGACGAAGATCGTTTTTAGTACACAAAACCTTTCGCAGATTCTGCTAAATTAAACGCTGAATACTTAAATCATAAAGAATAAGGAAACTGTACTGATTTCTTGCTGTTCGAATAGTTAAATCATTTGTTTGCAACTTGGTATTCCAAACGTGGAAGTTTGATCTCAGCGAAATGCCGACATTCGTCCGCAAAAGGTTAAAGGAATTGATTTAGCAATACGCGAACTGAATTATAAATTAATTAAAGTCTCGACAGATGCACTCTTGAAGTTCTTATGGAGGAATTTCAAAAAAGTCAATTCAACACGGTAGTTTTAGTGTTAATGATTGAACCTTGTTACTCGATACTGTCATTATTAATTTACTCACGCTGTCGTTGTCCTTGATGAGATTCTTTCGGGATTCTCTCTTAGAGTTCAGCGGGGCTTCCGGAGGCTCTCTTTGTATGTTGCCGCTTTTCACGTGCCAATAATAGGGGCCATTTTCGTCTGAAAGGAAATCCGATCGTTCATTGGCTCCGCGAGTGTCAACATTCCCTTGTTGACCACTTTTGCCGTATTCACGAAGGTTTATCGGCTTACGCGGTAAAAGTTGAATCACCGAACTCGACGCAACACCTTCACGCCCACGCTTCTATTTGCCGTGCATCGATTTTCGTGACGCCCGTTCTTTTATTTAATCTTTCATTTCGCGTTGTTTCATTTGCTGCTTAAAACGGTTAAAATTAAAACGCTCCGGAAGTATCGTTCGTGTCGGACGATAAATAAAAATTGTTAATTTCCGCGTATAATCCACGCTATATTCTGCGCCGACTATAATTACGTCGATTTTCCATCGCGACACGGAGTTAGTTAACACGGCGGCTAACGAAGCGATCGCGGGATTGTCCATTGATCTCTGTAATTGCGTTACATGTCCCGGGCGACGCGACTATCGGGTGGAACTATTATACGGTGCTTGTAACTATTTCATTCATAATGCAAAACATTTCAAAGTGAAATTATGTCAGTCACAAGAGCAATAAGGCACTAATTTGAACATTCACGTTCGACAGGATAATTAAACCCTTCACTTCTGTATATCGAGCACCTTTCACGTTGCTCTGAAAACGATTTGGAGCAATCTGAGGTCATCGAGTCGGCTGATTCATCCTATACTTTCAATTATTCACCGTCTTGCTGCTACTAATACTAGATATTGTTCTCTTAACGTTGTCGCTGTTACTCCATTAATTCTATTAATCAACGTATCAACATTCATTTTTCATAGATTACAGTGACCAGAAAATCTCATCATGCTCTCAATTAACTTCAAGCACAAATTTCACTTTATTAGACTAAACTTTATTGAAGTATGCAAAAAGTATGTCTACGTTCTTTTATTCGTAGACATATTGACTATTATCCATAACCCTCCCATTTCCCGATTCATTTGTCAATACCACTTTCGAAATTTGGTAAAAAATATTTTACAAAGATAAGACACGAAATTCATCTAGTACAAACGACCTTTTAACACTAGATTTACAGAACCCGTTAATTTAACGGACACTGAATTCTTCAAACATTATTAATCAAGAATTTAGGTAATTTCGATCGATGTAATTACGAGTACACCTTGATTATGCGAATTAACTCTTTGCACTCCGAATTTCTTTTGCATTTTTCCCTCAGTAACTCTGTATTATTAAATTCATTCGAAATGCATCTTAAAAAATAGTTACTTTCTAGAGAACAGTGTAAACGAGTCTCACTAATAACACTGAAAATAGCGCAACAATATAATCTATTTTAAAAATATCTCGACAAAGAATCACGCCGACACAGGAGCGCAAAGGGCTAAATCAATAAAGAAAGGGCTTTTCGAGCACAACTGAATGTTTATCTTTCACGTGGAACATCCTCCTGAAAAAGGAAGAAAAGAGATGATATCGGTATTGATACCCACCCTCGTGCTTCTGCCATCCAGGCGGCAGGTTCTCGTCTTTGTCCTCTGAATCAGTGGTATCCACCTCGGACGGCTTCTCCTGTTCATTGTTCTGCTGAGCGGCGTTGTTCTTTTGATCCTTCGGCTGTCTCCGTTTCACGGGCACAGCGTACAGCTCGCTGTTCAAGCCGCCCTCGACGTGCGGGACTCCGCCCATCTCTGTCGTCTCGTTGTCTGGTTTCTCGCAATAACTGCAACGCGAACGCCGCCGGATTACCATTTTATTGCCGCGAAATCGCTTCCCTCTCGTTAACGCAAACAATCGTGCCCGCGTCGCGTCGCGCAGCGCGAAACTCCGTTGCGGAAGCGGTACACAGCGCTCGAAAGCGAAGCAACAGGGATCCTGCTCGAGCAAGCGGTAAATCTCAAGTCGATGAATCTCCGTTTCGTCTGTTATCAAGCATCGGGTTGTGCAAGAAGAAATAATGAATCATAGAAACAGAGAAAGATCGGTCTTTCGATTCGGACGAGTATTGCGTTGAGTAAAAGACGCACTGTTATCCCGTGTGCATTTATTCTAACGTGTTCCGGACAAGGATATTACTCTTCTAAGAATTCATAATTTTTTAACATATGAGTCACTTGAACAACCGACTTGCAATTGGTAATGGATATCTAATAGAATACGAGGAGCTAACAATTCGTCTTGTCGGTAGATTCTATGGATTCCTCTCGGATTAAGCAACAGTTTAATAATACAAAATAATGAATCATTGAAACGGAAAGTAATTGTTTTAATTCGAATGAGCATTGTATTGATCTAACGCGTTTCCAGTAAATAGATTCTTCCGAAAGTTTGTAACTTTTAAAAATACGAATCACTTAAACTATCGACTTGCAATTGATAATAGAATACGTATCGACGAGTGAACGATTCGTCTCTGATCAAGTATCGGATAGTAATAAAAAGCGATGAACCATTAAAATAAAAATGAATCGATGTTTTGATTTTAATCAATGAAATATGTACTATCATCCCGGGTGCATTTTAACGCGTTTCCGATAAAGAAGTTCCTCTTCTAAAAATTTGTAATTTTTGAATGTACAACCAATTAAATGTACAACCAGTCAAGCAATCGATTTGCAGGTGATAATGGATATCTAACGGAATACGTGTCGAGGAGCTGACGACGATTCGCCCCGACAACAGGTTCGATGGATCGCGTCGTCGTTAATATTTACTTATCGCCGCTGACGACGCGTCCGGTATGATAAATCGGGCTCCCCGTGTAATTGGCCATCGGACGGATCGTGAAGTTTTATTGATCACGCGTCGGCATCGACAGAGACGAATCGCGTATCGCTTCTAATCGCGTATCATCGGGACTGCTTACCGGCGCGACGCGACGCGACGTTTATCTATGTATGCAAGCGCAACGAGGCGAGCCGGGGGAACGGGGGGTGGAACGGAGGAGTTCGTAACGGAATCAACCCTTGTTAAACAGCACGAAGATTGAGTTAACGGCGGCCCGTAACGACTCGAATCGGAACTTGTTGCCAATTTCAAGAGCGGACCGCTGTGCGTGCGTTTTCAGAGCTGAATCGTTAATTTCGATAGTTCATTGAAAGCTACGAAACGGAAATAATATTCGAAACATTCCGATATTTACTCTTTTCCTCTGATCACAAATAAAAATGTGATTCAATTTACTTTTCGTTTGAAATATAAAACAATTTCTCTTCGTGGTTTCACGTTTATGTTATGTATTTATTAAACAACCGGACTATATCAAGACTTTATGGTTGTCATGTCTACCGACGTGAAAAGGGGAATAACGGAGAGTTTCATAAGCTTCCTTTCTTGCATTACAGTTTTATTATATGTTCGAACTAAGCTGCAACGTTCCTTTCAATTCTTAGTTCTATAAAATTGATTATGCGGGCATGTGCACAAGCATTCGTAGTTTAATAACAACAACGTGAATACTGCATTCGTAACCATACCGATGCAAAAGGAAGCAACATAAATATAAGAATCGTATAACATTCACCTATACAAACTTCTACGTTAAAGTGTAAAAGGAACATATAGTAATACAAAGGTTTATACCATTATAAAATCCAACATTTCCAAAAGTACATCCATTAAAATAGATTATCTTTCCTTAAACGAACTTTCCAAGCAAAATACCAATGAAATTTGAAGTTTAATACATTTGCAATATTAAAATGCGTAACGCGAAGTTCCCGATAATTCCAGCTTAACCGGAAATACCGTAGGAACTACAATTTTCAGAGAGGAAGGTAAAATGCGTGATCAACGACAAAGATTTATACCATTATAAAATCCAACATTTCCAAAAGTACATCTATTAAAATAGATTATCTTTCCTTAAACGAACTTTCCAAGCAAAATACCAATGAAATTTGAAGTTTAATACATTCGCAATATTAAAATGCGTAACGCGAAGTTCCCGATAATTCCAGCTTAACCGGAAATGCCGTAGGAACTACGGTTTTCAGAGTGGAAGGTAAAATGCGTGATCAACGCGTACGGAGATCTACGGATAGAAAAGTTCTACGTGGAAATGGCGAAGGCACCGGCGAGGTGGAACGTTTCCATTCGCGATTCTACTTCCCAGGGAGTTTGATTTCCACGCTCGCGGTCCGCCCCACGGGATAAAAGTCTATTCTTCCGGGGCGCGCGCCAATTCGAACGCGCCTACCCACTTCCTAGCGCGGCCCGCGGCTGGGAGGATCGACGGGTAAAACTCGGGAAAAGTCAGTTTTACTTTCTAATGCGGCCGCCGCGGAAAACCGACGAGCTTTATGCGAAGAATTTTCACTTTATCTCTCCGGAGGAGCGAACGCTTTCTTCGCTGCTCGTTCTTCGCGGGGAAACGCGATCTTCCGGTGGCTCGGCAGCCAGCGGCGGAGATCGCGTCCATTTTTGTTAATCAGTGTACGTCCTCGAGTTCTTAACCCTAAGCGTACCACGTGTTTTTGTGATGTGACTCTTAGTCGCTTATGAGAATAACAGGAATGCTTAGTGTTATTGTCTTTGTAGGGCCCAAATTTTAACAGCTCAAAAAAACCTTTGGAAACGCAATATGATATAATGAAAAAATTTATGTAAAAAGTTACTCAAAGTCACATCGTGGTCCGATTAGGGTTAAGGAATTTTCGTCGTAATTTATCATCGACTAAGCTTCCATTTTGTTGCTGTGGATTTCGTTCGTGTTCCGAATTTTTAACACGTGCGCTACCAGCGTCAGATATTTGTGACGACTGTAATTTTATATTTGACATAATGAAAATGAAATTGATTCTATAGATATTGTTATTAGATATAAACTACGTTATATTTAGGAACTCAATGACTCAGTTTCAATTTTCTAATATTTTGTTTAGGAGATTTATTGGATCGAAGGAAATATTCTAATTGAGGGGACCGTCACCGAAATAAGCGCTGGTAGAGAGTGTTAAAGGGTCTTCCTACTTTTACCGTCAAATACACTTTTCCCAAGTTCGTTGAATTGAAATTTGATAGGAACGTATTGTCGATGTTAGTAATGATCAAGTACCGATAACAGAATTTTCTAATTGTTTTACATAGCTGCGTGATTACGTGTGTTACATATATACGTTACGTTGTGCAATAATTGGACGCGAACGTTATAAATACACGATTTATTTTTACCGAGTAAGGGCAAGGTGTAGAGGTTGTTTTAAGAGCCAACCCCGTTCAGTATAAAAGGAACTGATATTTACTCTACGAATGATATCGCGACCGGAAGGGACCATTAATTTTTCGCAGCGTCAAAGCAGGAGGACCCATTAATTACGAACACGATACCGGTGACACGAGTTTCGCGTTCCCCTGAATAAATCTCCGGGACACGTAGAGAACCCTCGAAACGGGCGCATGCAACGCGTCTGCGGCCGCAAGTTTGCAGCGCTGCAGCGTGGATGGGAGATGGGGCACAAAGATAAGCAATAACAACAACAACAACAACAACAACAAGAACTCGGAGTTTCCTACGGAGCAGGCTTCGAAGCGAGGAGGAACGATCGACTACAAAAGCTACTGATTCCAAATGGAATCGTCGAATCAGTTCGTTAACGATAACGCAACAGCAGCAGCAGCGGCAGCAGCAGCAGCAATGAGGTAACAACAATAACAACAAAACGGTGAAGCAACAATTGTTCGACATACGGTGCAGTGGTAGACTAGAGGAAGGGAGGCAACCAGTGAAAGACTCTATTCGTACGTACTTTCTCGAACCGGATAGATTGGCAGCGTCAACCGAGTCCGCGGTTCCCGACTGAAGGGGAGGCAGAATCGAGGAGGAAGACGCCGACGACGATGATCGAAGATTTCCGTTGAGGGTGTCGTCGACCAGAGCGGACTCCGCTACACCCTCGCTGCCGTACCTGAATCAGCACGTTACCGAGCGCATTACAAAAGGGAATCGATCGACGATGGAACACGGTGATTTCGGTGCGCCGTCATCGAATCGGTTCGGTTCTACCTCGTTTTCGTTGGTACATCGGTACTACAATGGTAGCTAATGAATGATTAGTAGTAACAATGATCGTCAGAATATTTTGTAAATAATATTCTATGTTTCTGTGAAATCAATCATTGCATCGGACTTCTGGAAAATTGAAAAATGAAATGAAACCGGTGGGAAATATGACTAATAGTAACAAACGTGTAGCTTACTTTTTAATATCTGCGAGTGCTTTTCATTTGATTATTCTGTATGGAATGTATCGGGGGAGGGGGGAATATTTTTCTCGCGAACAACAAATCCTTTTTTCTCGGTGATTCTATGTTATTTGCGAAGGACGTTTAATATAAATGTAAATTTAATACGAGTCCGTTCACGGGGAAAAAAGAGGGATACGCTGAAACGTTTGAACCAATTAAAATTGAATTAAGTGATCCGCGATTCGGTAATATGCAAAATGATCGGCTTGTAAATATTGATGGGAATAAATAAATTTCGTTGGCCGCGCAAAGGTATGTTGTCTTTATATTTTGATGCACTTCGGCGCGAGCAAAACGAGGAACAGATGCTGTCAATAGTATTTGCGCCCGTATTGCAATGGCAGTATTTACATTATCATATTGATGCCTCTATTACAAAGTCATGAATCTGGGGTAATTATGATCCGAACGGATAACTGTCCACCGGCCGCGTTTTGCATAATTAAACCGCGATTTATGCTCGTTCGCCGCGCGTCCGACATTTATACGTGTCAGGTTTCGCGATCATTTTTAGCAGATATGGATTTTACGCTTGTAACTCCGGTTGCGTTCCATAAATGAATTCACCACGATATTCCACTTTTGCGCAAATAACTCACTGTACGCTTACTGACGAAATATTTCATCGTCCCTTTAATAAAAAAACAGAATTAGAAATCATATATTTCATCGAAGATAATCAGTCTCATTTTATTCACACGTTATTCGGCAATTAATTCTGTTTCTCTGCAACCAATTTTAAATTAGTTACACAATCTCTATCGCATATATCTCATTGTGAACCATTTAGGACATTACAGGAACCAACGAGGTCCGACTTACACGGGGGCAATCTTTCAATCCAATATATCACACCGAAGGAAAAGGGTCCGGGGAAGTGACGCCCATTCCAAGAAATCGAAAAATACTGCAACAGAGGATACACCGGCGGCAGAAAAATTCAATTCCCCGGGGACGTTCTCGAAAATACGGTGAAAGTTCCCCCGGATGAAATTCCGGAAATCGATGTTATTTCCCTCGAATTGGTCAGACGCGGCGCTCGTTGTATTCTTCCATTCCCGTGATTCAAAAGCCCGATCCGCGCGGATGAGCCGGGGGCCGCTCGAAGTTCCCCGATTCTCGGCTGGAAATTCCGCGCGAACGACACATTGTCCCGGGAACACGCGAAACCCTCGGCGGTCTCCGTTAATTTCGTGCCGGGAACTTTTCTAATTGTACGATTTCCGCGGAAGTGTCGCGGCAGTTCGGGAAACCCGAGGAGATCCGCGCTATCCTCGTGAATGTAACGCGACCGGGCAAGTTCGCAGCTCGCGGAAACTTCTCGGAAATCTTTGAATCGCGAGATATCTCCCGGGACTGACGCCACGGTTCCGGGGACCCGTGTTACAAAACCGCGATTGCGTCTGACAGTTCCGTTCCGAGGTGCGCAAGTTTCCAGGATGTGACGTTTTCCTTTTAATCGAGGCTACCTCGATACCGAATATTATTGCTGTAATTAGCGTGACGCCGATCTCACGTGTTCTTTTCGCAAACGCAGGGAACCGGGAGTGGGATCGGTGTTCCCTTTTAGTCTCACGATTGAGCTGCTAGAAGTATCTCAATATTCTACCCGTAGAAAGTTAACGCTACTAAATATGTTTTTTGACACCGTTGGAATTTTTGAATTCAAATTATTTTCCGAGTGTAGTCGTATATTCTGAACTGACTATTCGACTTTCTCAGTAACGATTATACAATTAAAACGTCCAAAATTCGATTGAGGACGAATGATTTAACTGGGAAAATAGTTTCAAGTGAAAATTTCAGGTGCCTTTTGACACGTTCGGTAGGAATAGTGTTAATTAGGTTTTCGATGTTTGTGTTAAAAGGATTAGTAACTTCTCTTTCGATGGTACTCTCGAAAGGAGTTGCATTTTTATGGACGATCAGTTTGTATAGAGAAATTCATTACAGAATCGTTAAGCAGATTCGAGAAAAACGAGAGATATGAATGATTCATCTTTGACGTAATCACTAAGGATCCGTTAGATCCCATGAATGATTCACAGAGCAACAGTTCAGCGTGTTCCGGGCTGTTCCTCTGTTTGCACTTTCGCTGTTTCGCGAACGGAGCACGGTGACCAATGGAACGCCGCGAACTGCCCCGAAACGGGCTCCCAGTGAAAACGGTACCGTCATTAGAAATTTTACGCCGACCGGGTACGACGCTTAGAGACGAACTTAACTGACCGTCACGGGGCGTTGCACGCCGCGCCGCAGAAATTACGCGGCTGCAAGGAAGTGCCATTTTAATTAACGATCGGGGAACGGAGCCAGGCACCGGCGTGGTTAGTACAGGGTCGCTAACCATGTCGAAGTAATTAAGGGATTAGCCGAGCGGTTTGCTGACTAACGCCGGCTCGCCTCTCCTGAGCGACGCTCGGCTCAGTCTTCAAACGATTCCTTCAAAGCCTGGGAATCGAAAGATTCCCGATAGTCTCCGGCTGCTTAGAGAATTATGATTCGCCAGCAGACGCACAGACATCGATGCTCTCGCTTAATCTCCCGTGGAGATCTTCAGTTCATCGTTTTCCGAGAGTTCGCAGGACCAGCACCCTCGGGCAACTTCTAATTCCTGCGAAGATAATTCCCTAACCTGGCTCTGAATAATTCAAATTTGGCACACGGTTACTGGCAGATAGAGTTAGGGGCGTCTGAAATGCGCACAGCATTCATTACGCGAGATTCAGCGAAGAACTCGAGTTTAACACTTCGGACGTCGAGCGCTAATCAGCTTGGACTTGGAGACTTTTGATCATTTACTTAACTCGAAGCAGCAGCGAAGTCGCGATAAGCCGGTCGGAATTATAGTTTATCATAAACTGACCCGGATCGCTTTTTCCGCGAAGTTTCGCTGCCGAGGACGTAAACGGAGCTGTTAAACGAGGGAAGTTGTCAATTTTCGCGGGGTCTTTAGACTCTGACAAGTGTCTTTAATCAACTGGATTTTTATGCTTGCCTCTCAGCTGGGAAAGATTATTATTAGTCATGCTGCTACTTAAGATCTCTCGTAATTTCTTAGTCGTATCTTTCGCCAGTAATGGACTACTTTCACTGTCTTTTATCGATCGCGTCGTTCCAAAAATTCGAGCCCCAAGTTGTTTGTTACTTTCAATTTTAGTCTTAGTTAGATCTCGGTTAGGTAATTTCGGTAATTTTGTTTTTAATTAATTTCTTAGTCATATCTTTCGCCAGTAATGGACTACTTCGACTATCTTTTATCGATCACTCCGTTCCAAAGATTCAAGCTTCAAGTTATTATTATCTTCGATTCTAGTCTTATCTATTTTTAGCTGGAGCACGTCCCAAGAAATTTTCGCGAGTCTCAGAGAAGCCTTCTTGAACCCTATCAATCTTCCAATGGCCCCGATCCTTAAGAAATATCCAAAAGGACTTTGATAAACCCCGCTGACCCTTATAGACCGACGATTGCCTGAGCCATAGAGCACCGGTGGCCCTTCACTCCTCGCCCGAAGAACGCGAGGCACGGAGATGGATTATTCAGAGGATTTCCGATTGCTTCTGACAGCCTGAAACTCGATCCTTTACCGGCCCGTTGCTCCGACCCCGGTGACACGTATCCTTCTTCTCCCCCGAGCTGAACCATATTTTAAGATGGCCGATGGACTGTCAGACTCTTCGGCGATATTAAATTTCTCGAAGGGTGGGGCCGCGATAGATCACAATGACCGTCAAGCTGAAGGGCTGTCTGTGTACAGAGGACACAAATTATGGTAATACGCATAAAGAGAATTACTCGTCGAACACTAGCAATAAATTCCACTCAAACATCTAACCTCCCCCAGAATCGAATAACAAAGCTCACAAGGTTACGCCTTCATTTCCCCTATCAAATCAATCCGAAGAAAAACCCCGTATATTCCAATAACCACAACTCCACCTGAAAAATTTTCCTAACCAAAGAACAAGTACAACCTCCCCTTTAACTCTCTTCAAAGTACTCTAACAATCCAAACTCGCCCCGCTCCGCGCGAGACCCTCCGTCGTTAATAAAAACGTTACCTCATCGCGATTAAAGCTTTGACGGCGAGTCCGCTGCGTGTCGGCGTAATCTCGTGTTTTCATTTCGCCGGGGCTCCTTTTGAGCGTCGCCGGAGCAACCGGAAGAAAGGGGGTAGCAAACGCGGATAAGAGAACCGAGCACTTGGCAGAGCGCAGAGGAGAGCGCGCGGAAAGGAGAGGGACGCGGAGCTCGCGGAGTGTAGCCGAAGGGAGAAGAGCAAAGGAAGAGCGCGAGATTTCGCGCGGTCCAGTGGCCGGAGCTTAATAACACCGTTCTCAGCAAGTATGTGGGTTAGCGGAGGCACGAGTAGCAGCTTGGAAATTCGCCAGTAGTCGCGGGTGGAAGAGGAGGACGTCGACGCGCATAAATGCGGTCGTGCCGCGGCCGGCTCGGCTGATCGATCGATCCCTGGATGCCATCGTCGCGGGAATTCCCCATCGATTATTCCCCGCAGCGACACAACTTCCGATTGCTCCTTTGTCCGATCGCGAGCCGGATGATCCGCCCCGGAACGATTCGTTCCGCGGCTCGCTGCCGGATATCGCCGGGATTCCGCGCGTTCCGCTCGGCTCGGCCCGCGGCGCAATTCCCCGCGAA